CACGGAACGTACCTACCGAGCCGGGGTGGGTGCGGGTGTGTGTGTGGGGGGATGGGGTGGGGGGGAAAGATGGTGGAGAGGGGGTGTTGGGGAGAGGGAGGGAGCAAATTGGGGGGAGAGAGGAAGCGGGGAAATAAATGTGATGGTGTTACAAACGCTGCCCTGCGCATTCTGTCTCTCTCTTTCTCTTCTCTCTTTATCTCCTTGTCTTCCTCGCGCGTGTGTTTTTGTGTATGCGCCATATCCAGCGTGTGTGTATGTGCCAGTTCCTCCTCGCAGCTCAATGACTAGAGCCCACACGACAACGTACCTTGCCGTTGTGGCCCCTCAAATTGCCCACGTTATCGCAGGTGTAGGTGTTGTAGATGGAGATGGTGGTGCCGTTGACGGCGGCAAAGTACCTGGTGGGGGTAGTGGGGGAGGTGCGGGGGTGGGTGTGTGGAGGGCAGGGGTGAGAGGGGGGAAGGGGCGTGTGTATGCAGGCATGTGATATACGGCATGCGTCACCCGAGGTTGTTGGTGGTTGAGATGAGGTGGGACTGCAGGAGGTTAGACGCGCGTGTCTGTCTGTCTGTCTGTATGTATGTGCGTGTGTGTGTGTGCCTGTGCGGTCTGCGGGGGCTGTGTGTGTGTGTGTGTGTCGATGTATGTATGCATGTATGTAGGTGTGTGTATCTGGTGGGGGGGGGATTGTAAGGCGGCACTCACTGTCCGCCGGTGGAGAAGCAGCACTCCCTGCACCCCTTGATGCCCAGCTCTTTGATGGTCTTCAGATCCTCCATCAACACGGACATCAGACGCAGCTTGTCAGCGAATCCCACAAGAATCTGCGGCAGGACAGGAAAGATAACCATGGCACACCCGGACAGCGTAAAACCAACGTTGCCATATACAGTCGTCACTCTTCTGTGCGTGTGTATGTCTGTGCGTCTGTGTTTGTGTGTGTGTATGCGAGTGTGTGTGTGTATCCAACCCAGCCCAGGCCGAGTGCAATACCGGGTGTATGCGGTAAGTACAGTGTGGATGGAGAACCCTGCGCCTTACCATAAGGCCCGTGGGGTGTATGGCGATGGAGAAGATCTCGTCCGCAAATGTACGGTGCAGCTCGCATGTACGATCCACCCAGTTCCACAGCCGTACAGAGCGATCGGTGGAGCAGCACGAGGCGATGAGGGCCTTACGCACGCACACGTCCAAACCCGTCACAGGACCGGCGTGGTTGGGGGTGCCCAGGATCTGGAAGCGGGGGGAGGGGAGTTGGGGGAAGGAGTGCGGGGTAAGGAGAGAGGGGAGAGAGTTAAAAGAAAAGAAATGTTGGGAACCCTCCCTCTCGCTCAACGCCAACACCAACACCAACACCGACGACATCAGCACTGACGTATTCAGGTAAACGGCCGCAACGGGGGCTTGTGGCGGAGGAGAAAGGCGGAAGGAAGCGTGCGAGGTAGTGGGCGCGTGGTCGGTGTGTTAAAGAAAGGTGAGGTGTGAGGTGTGAGGTTTGAGGGACCAAACAGCATCGTGGTAGCTGTAAACAAAAACCTAGTTAAGCATAAGGTAGAAACTAGAGGAAAAACGCTAACGCAGAATTCTGGCACAACAGGTAACATTAAACGTAAGAAACCAATACCACCGAGTTTTAGTAACACGCCGGCTAAGAGTACGCTACCGGCGGTAGGTGCAGCAACATGAGCTTCGGGTAACCACAAGTGAACAGGCATCAAAGGAATTTTTACAGCAAGAACAGCTAAGTAGCTGTCCGGGGGTTCGCATCCACCACCCCCACTTTCCCCCACTCTTTCTTCCTCCTCCTCCTCCCCCTCCTCTTCGTCTTCCGCCTACCCACGAAAACGGTCCGCCCATGGGCCCCATATGACCGGTTCCCCCCCTCCTTCTACTCCCCCTCCTTTCCCCCCCCTCCCCCACCTCAAAGTTCATTTCGTCGTGTTTCATGATCTCCTGGTTACTCAGCATCAGCGTGTAGGCCTGGTTGTTGTCCAGGGAGGCCACCAGGTGCTCCTCATTCGGGGAGATGGCCAAATTACTGGTGGGTGTGCGTGTGTGTGTGTGTGTTCGGAAAGGGGGAAAGGAGGGGGTAAGTCAGCAGGTGAGTCATCAAGCTTGCCGTACACAGCTTTGAAACCCAAACACGCAGCCACAGCCCTTTTCGACGGACACAATTTCCGCCTTCATTACCCCCTGAATTCCTTTCCCTCTCTTTCACCCCTTTCATCTCCTTTCCCCCCTCAACCCACCGCAAACAAAACAAGACTCACATACATACGAAGTTGCACACAAGCACATAGTTATACTGCGCACAGTTCTGCTGCTGGTACACAGTTATACTGGTACACAGTTATATTGGTACACAGCCATAAACACTTGCGCACACACCGACGAGTAGGCAAATATGCATTCTGTTAAACTCCTCTCCAAGGAGACAATGACACCCCCCCTCAGCACTTCCCTCTCGCGGCTCAGCTCATAAAAAACAATTACATACATACACACGCACACACTCTCTCCCCCCCCGCAACCCCACTCACAGCACTTTGCAGGGATTCCCCTCGATGGTGAAGGCCCTCGCACGGCGGTAGAACTCCTTGTCGTCTCGCTCAAAGATGGTCACCACGCCCTGGTCCTGTCCCACCACAAAGCCCTTGGAGTAGACGGCGATGGAGCAGGCGGGCAGGCCGTTGTCGCAGGAGAAGGCGGCCTTCAGGTCTGTGCCCTGTAGAGGTGAGGATTGGGGGTAGCGCGGGATAGCGGGGGGGGGAGGGGGTTGGGAAATTGGGGGTTCCGGGTTGCGGGTGGTTATGGGGAGGTGGGAGTTCGGGGGCGGCGAGGTGGGGTGGGGTGGGGTTGGAAAACACATGCAACCTGGGGGTTGAGGGGGTTTAGGGGGTTTAGGGAAGCAAGAGCTAGGAAGGGTGGGAAGGGTGGGAGGGATGAGACATTAAGGCCTGGTGGGACGGAGGGAGGGGGGAAAGGGGGGAGGGGGAGTGCCCGGCTTTTTGGGGGGATGGATGAAACCACGCTCGGACACATTCGTGGCTATCTGATCCCCACAGCCCACCGCCCCTCCTACCCTCCATCCTCATCCCCCTGCCGATGGCTCTCCCCGGCCCCGGCGTGATCGTCTCCATGAGCGGCCCCCCCCTCTTTCCCCTTTCCTGGCCCCGCCTTTCTAGCATCTACACGTGCCGAGGGGCTAACCCGCCCCACACCCCTAACCCTTCCCACCCCTTATCCCCACCCCTCGCCACGTGACATGGCTCCCTCCCCCCACCCACCTCCAGCAGCAGCACCTCCCCATCCGCCATTCCCAGCAGCAGCCGCTCACGTTGCTCATTGCTGCCGGGGGGGTCAGGAACCCAGCACTGCGACCACCACAGGGGGAGAGATAGAAGGGGAGCAGGGGATTGTGTGTGTGTGTGTATGCGTGTGTGTGTGTGGCGGGGGGGAAGACGTGTACAGGTCAGGAACAAACACAGCCAGGTAGGGATCATATGGGGGGACGGGGGGGAGTGCGCAACCTCACACGCGCAGTCAAACACAACGCTGCGGAGCTCGCTTCGGTAAAGTTATATTGGTATACCACCATATTCGGCACTTTCCCCATCGCAGCTCTGATCATGATCATAATCACACACAGCACCATAATCATAATCATACCCACACACGGCACCCGGCTCTCCCCCATCCCCCCCCACCCCCCCACGCAACCCACCTGACATGACGCCAGGGAGGGGTCCCGCTTGCCAATGATGGGGTTGGCCTGCTTCAGACCGCTGTCGGCGTTACGAAACATCTTGAAGATGCCCTGGCCGATAACGCCAACCAGAGAGGAGTCCCCGTGCGAAAAGTCGCACTGCAAAAAAGCCGTGTGGGGGGGGAGGGAGAAAAAAAGGGGGATAAAGGTAAGAAGATGTGTGTGTGGGGGGGGGGCCCGTTGGTGCGTGTGTGTGTGTGTGTGTGTGTGTGTGTGTGTGTGTATGTGTGTGTGTGTGTGTGTTGAACGGTGGCAAAGGAGCTGGGGACTAGCAAAATGTGGCTTGCCATTCTCAAAAGAGGCCCGTATTTACCCCTCTCCCCCCTTTTCTCACCCTCCTTACAGCCCCCCCCCTTCCCCCCCCCAACCCTCATCCACACAAACTGCGCAGTGGGGTGCACGGTGTTTTCCCGGATCTGAGCCCTGATCCCAGCACCCTCGTTGTGCGCTCCCGTGCACGGCCCCCGTCCGCGTCCTCAGCAGCTCAATGTCCCCCCCCCCTTCCACCAGTTTTCATCACCCTCCCCCACACCCCCCTCTTCTCTTCTCCCGGCCCCCCGGCATGCTCCCCCACTCCACTCCACCCCACCCCTCGCCTGTCCATCACGTCATGCCAACTCACCGGGATACATTTCCCTCTCCGGGGATCCTCA